CCCCCGCTCCCCGCGGCCAGGCCGGGAGTGGAGGAGGGAGGCGCCCCCCACCCCCGCGCGCCCTCTCCGTGGGACCCCTTTTTTGGGAAGGGGACCGAATTCCCCTTTGTGCAGGGTCACCTGGGCCGTATCCCCCTGGACCTCCCTGGCTGTCGCCCTCCCCCTAAGGACGCAGACAGGACCGTGGGAACCCGGGGCACGTCTCCTGCGACGTCGCAGGACTTGAGCTGCACTTACTTGGCAGCTTTTCTTCGGACCAAAATGTTAGTTTGGGAGCTGGGCGTGGTGGCACTCGCCGGTACAATCCCAGCACTCCGGAGGCAGAGGCAGATGGATGGCTGCGAGTTCAAGGTCAGACTGGGCTATATGGTCTAAAGCCAGCCTGAACTGCAGAGACACCTTGTCTTATTACAAAAAAAAGGTTGGGGCTCTAGTGGGCATCTGCCCGACTTCCCTGTAGTGTCTGGGGTGACTCGGTTGGTGTTGGCATTCCTCCCACCCACAGCTCTCCCCCCACGCCGGAAGGAGGCTCTCATACCTTTGGCCAGAGGCAGGACTGAGTGGTGAGCACTCAAGTCACACTGGGAAAGCCAGCCCTGCTCCAGCAGACCTCCAACACCGCCAAGGAAGGGAGCCAGGAATTCAAATCCTGCTGTATGTCAGGTGTAAGTGAATGTAACCCTAATTTAAGGCAAGGACCCTGGAGTCAAAGGCTCCTTAGGCATCTGGTATGCTGGTCCATGCCTGTAATCCCAGCACTCAGGAGGCTGAGGCAGGAGGATTGCAACTTCAAGGCCAGATGAGGCTACCCAGTAATCTCAAGGTTATTCTGAACTGGACAGCCAGACAGTGTCTCAAAAAAACAAAACTGAGGGCCTGGGACTTAGCTCAATGGTTGCGCCACCTGCAAGGACCCAAGTTCGATCCCCAGTACCAACACCCCCCGCAACAAAACTGAGTTGGGTGTCATGGCACATGCCTGTAATATAGCACGCTGGAGGCCGAGGCAAGAGGATTGCTAGGAGTTTGAGACTAGCATGGGCTACATAGTTTAAAGCTAGCCTGAGCTACACAGTGAGAACCTGTCTCAGAAAAAAGAACACTGATGTAGCTCAGTGGTATAGTGCCTGCCTGCCTGGCATGCGATTCCCTATACCAAAAAATAAAAAAGCACACAAAAAGAAAAAGTGACCCCCTGAGCTAAGGCCTTTCTGCCTTAGTTTCCTTATCTGTAAAAATGTTTGGTACCTCAAATGGCTGTTACAAAGATTAGATGTTTCTAAACTTTGAGTGTAATGATAGTCCCGTGTTGTTGCACACTAATCTAAGGCTCTTAGCAGAGTTGGTTTTCCCATCTGTTGCAATCAGTGGAGACTGAGGCACAGAGAGGGCTACAATAAATCAGGAGCAAGACTCCAAGGATTTAGAGCAATCTCCCAAGTATCTACCCCCACCCCAGGGTGAGGCCGGCCCCAGGCCCACCTGGGGCCCTGCCCAACACCCTCCGGGCCTCCCAGCATGCCTGGTGCCATTTTTCCATGGGACTCAGGCAGTGGCGGTTCACATCTGGAGTCTAGACTCAGAGGCTCTGCCGGCTGGGCCTACCGCCCGGGATGGGCCTCGCTGCCCGCTGTTTGCTCAGCTGAAGCTGGTTAATTGGAGCTGGAGTGGCCTCTGCGGTGCAGGCTGGCCAGGCGGCCCTGTTCGGCGCTGCTGAGGTCTGTGGAACATCTGGCCAGGCCAGGACAGTCATTAGGTGGCAGGCGCCCGGCGCCACTGCCACCTCAGTCTCTGACGGGGGGCCGGCAGTGACTCAATGAGGCCTTTGTGGGCCCTGGGCCACAGAGCCAACCGCACTGTGTGCCTGGAGTGCTTGCCCCATCTGCCGCCCTCAGAGGGGCTTTGTTCCAGAACCACACAGCCTCTCTCTAGTGGGGCTGTGATCTGCAGAGATCTAAAAAGACCCTCTGGCTGAGATTCCCTAGCCTTCCTTACCTTCCCATTGACTCCTGGGCCCAGAAAACTGGGTGGCTTCCTCGGAGGGGCCCAGCACAGCAGCCAGTGTCTCAGCCCTGGGGTCTGGAGATCAGTTGCGCAGACCTCAGGAACTTACCGGAGTCCTGCGTCCACCAGCAAGCGGCTTCCATCCCCTCAGATGCAGGGGGCTAACAGTGGCACCTACAGCCTAAGGCCATGAGAGTAAGCACTGCTTGGGTTACATCGTTACCTAGGGAAACAACTGAAATCACCCTAACTCCTGAGGCTCTGATCATACTTGTCCTTTGACCACCTCTAAACTGTCTGAAAGCCACTGATACCTTCGGCCTTTGAATCTGTGGCATGGGGAAGAGTCCTCAGCTGGGCTAGAAGCCTAGCTTAGTGACCCCCACCCCCAGGCAGATGGACAGGGGTGCCAGCTCCTGCCTTGTCCACAAGGGGTCTCTTATAGGCTAGAGGTTAGGGAAATTGGTCCTGGATCTCCAGCTCCTGGGCCAGTTCCTTTCCATCCCAGGTCTAAGAGCGCAGCCCTTTGTGTGGTAACTGGCCCTGCAGTTGTTATTTTGGGAAGAACCCCAAGAACCAGAAAGGGTCTTGATCTCCAGGGCAGCCCAAGGTTGCACTTCTCCAGCTGAAACTACATGGGTGCTGGGACCAGGGGAGCTGCTTTACATGGCTGCCGGTGCCCTTGCTGAGCCAGCTCAGCCTTCTGGTACCTTCCCACCTCATGCCAAGGGGCACGTGCTCAGTGTCCTCACTGCCTCTGAGTACTGGCAGGAAGGTGGTGAGGGAGGAAAACCCTACCGCCAGGGAGAAGGGCTCATGGGTGCTCTACTGGCCACCAGATGTCCTTGGGGTGTGAGCTGGCCTGGCACTGCAATGTACATCCAAGAAGGGACTGCAGAAGTTGCTGGGTGGACAGGTGGGACCTGATAAACTCAGCACCAGACCAGGAGGGCATACGCAGAGCCTTCCAGGTTTCCAGGAGCACAGCAGCCCAACTGGCCATGGGATGAGTTTTTAATATGAGGCAAAGTCAGTCCACAATACAAAAATCTTAAAAATCACACCCAGTGTTCCACCTGGCTCCTGGGGAGGGAGGAAGCTGGGGGTTTCCTTTGCCTGCAGGGCTGAGGAGGAGCAGAAAAGGCCAGAGGAGGGGAAGAAGGAAAGAGAGGCTATGGAGAGCGGGCTGGAGGGATGCTGCTCCCCACCGCTAGTCCTGGAGCAGCCACCAGTTTCCCGTGCCCCGCCCCGTGTGTCCATCCCGCGCTTGTCTAGCCGGTCTCCACACATCAGGCACCAGCATCACTTCTCTTTCTTCTCCAGCCCCTTCGATGCTAATGCCTCTGTTGCTTCTGTGGATTCTGTCCCTGCTGCTGGATCTTTAGGATTCGATTCTTCATAACTGACCAGAAAACAAAACAACAAAAACATACTTAGAGGAGGAAGAGACATAATTAATCTGTGTTGCCCCTACCTCTCTATAACCCCAAGAAAGCCCCTGGACATACAAGGTACGCCAGCCCTGCGGCTGTGGTGCTAAGAGGCAGTAAGAGCAGCAGCAAATGGGAGAGGCTGGGCCTGGGCTTGTATGAATCAACTTTATGCTTCCTGAACCTTCTGCTGGAGAATGGGAGAAGGGCAGCCAGGATGAGGCTCTGGGAGATGGGCTGCCACCCAGGGCACAAGGCAGGCATCAGACAGCTCCACCCCATGGCAGGGGCGTTAAGTGGGGGTAGGGTGTGGGGGGGTGATCGGCTGGCAAATGGCCCGGTACTGCCAAAGATGGACACCTGGCTCAGCTCTTACATGGGCTTCTCTTATTGAGCAACCATGTTCTTGCCAAGGACAATACTGTATTTCCCCACCAGACCAACCTGAGGCAGGAATATGCCCACTTACAGATGAAGAAAGGCTCGGAAAGAAGTACCTTGCCCAGGATTGCATATATGCAGGGAGCAGGCCCTCATGCCCACTCTCCAGAGCCCCATGTCACTGGGAAGCAAGTTCTGGGCAGTGCCGCTCCCTGTGCCTGGGGCTGGGGACAGTGAGTGCTGGTGGCTCTGGGGGCTGCCTCCTGCTGCCTACCCTGGCCATGCTCCCTGCCCTTCCTAGAGTGGGAGCGTCTGCCCTACCTTGGGCCCAGGGCAGTGGGGGGAGTGGGCAGGTGGGCACCTGCTGGGCATTACATAACGCTGGGATTCTGCGGGCGCCGGCGACGAGGGCCAGCTAGCTTCTGCTGCATGGAGTCGGCCAGGCTGGCGGGGGAGCCCGAGACCGTGGGGAAGTGGGTGAGCCTCGGGGTGTGAGGCAGGATTTCCGCTGAGGACTCGTAGCTGTGTGAGACAGAGACAGACAGAACAAAGAGATGGAGCGGGAAAGACTAAGGGAGGACAGAGACCTCCGTCCCCAGGAGTTGGGAAGACAGCATCTTATTTTATCTAGCTCTGCATTTGCAGATTTTGTGGAAAGGAGCCAGGACTGCTTGGAAAAAAAGAAAAGATGCAGCTCCACTGGCAACCATGCAGCTGCGCAAAACGGCAAGAATGTCCTGGCTGCCCATGCGCCAGTACTGAGGCATCTCCAGGACGGTGTTCTGTGGAAAGTGAAGGTATGGGGGGTGGCCCAGAGGTAGTGTGTGCTCAGCCCTGTAAAAAAACCACAAAACCCAAGAAGCAGAAAGCTTGAAAGCCCTATCAGTGCAAGGTAGGTGCATGCAGTTTGCATTTCAGCAGTGTCTCTCAGCGTCTGTAAGAGCTGACCTCTCTGGTGCTGGGGCCTGGAGGTGTTCTCGTGGCTATGGAATTTTGAACAAGGTGAATGTGTTACCTATTCAAAAATAATTTAAGTGAAGTAGAAAACGTGGACATGCCAGGAAAAGAGAAAGTAAAGCAAAAGGTAATGAAGAATCAGGGAAAGAGGACACAAGGAGAGAGAGACCACCTGCCTTCTCACCTTTATCTAAGGGCCTCCAGGGTATGCTGTGGGTAGAGAGCGTGTGGCACAACATTTAGGGAAACCAAGCACCACATAGGTATGAGGGGGGCGCCTTGTGCCCTGGCCTAAGTGTTTACTCCCAACAGTGGGACAGGGGTAGCTGGGGTGAGATGAGCCAGTGGGAGGGTGAGCACAGGTGCTGAGCTGTTCCAGACCTGCCCTCTAATTCACCCTGCTCACCTCAAAGACCGCATGGCTTTCCCAGGCCAGGCTACAGGCAGGCAGGCAGGCTGGAGCTGGGGACTCTAGCAGGACAGGGAGGGCAAAGGCAGGTCGGGGAAGGGTGAGTCACGGGCTGCCCTGCAGGCAGCCAGGTGCACAGAAGCCCTGGCAGATGCTCGAGGGGCCATAAGGAGGCCAGGCAGGTGGTGCTGGGGAAGGCGCCCGAGTGGGCGGCCCTAATCGCAGTTGGCAGTTATTTCCAGGTCCCTGGCACATGGGTGGGGCTGGTGGGGTTGGGGAGTAGACACCTGCGGGAGTCACGCAGGCCCTGGGGGTAGGGGTGGGGCTGTGCACAAGGTACGGCAGCTGTGGAGAGGCCACGCAGACGCGGTGTGTGTGACTGAAGCAAACAGATGTGGAGGACGCAGCGAGCCATGGGTTACAACCAGAGGTGGCTGAACAGGGACTGACAGGTGACTTCTGAGGGCATTTCCCGCCCACACCCGCCGTCGCACATGTGAGCACTGGCGCTGGGGGAGGATGCAGACGTGCCTTCAGTCACCCAAGGGCAGAACCTAGGGCCAGGAGCAGGGCACCCGGAGAGCAAACCACGGCAGCCATTCCCTTCTGAAGACCCAGCTGGCACGAAGGGTGGGGCTGTGGGAGCCTCAGGCCTCGCTCTCCTCAGGTTCCTGGCCCAGAGAAAGGCTCCCGCTGGTGTACACAGGCCAGGAACCAGGCACTGGCAATGGGCAAGGGGTGGCACAGGTGGCAGGGTGACGTCCCCAGATGTCTCCAAACAACCTGCAGGCTCCACAGGCTGCTGCACCTGGCTCATTGCGTCTGCCCTGTCCTGATTTACCTGAACATCTCTGTCACTTCTCCCTTGGCCAGGGCCACCAGGACCGGAAAGCCGATGCAGGCAGGAACCAGGTACAGGAGGGCGGGCTATGGGAGAGCAGAGGCTGGTCAGGCAGTGCTAGGCAAGGCACCCGTCCAGAGCACCCCTGCCTCCCCAGGCTGCTCCTGGGCTTGACTGAGGGACAGCTCAGGTTCACAGACAGCTCTGTGGCTGGACAAGAGCCCAGGAAACCCGAACCTAAGGCTGTAGGGCCTCCAGGGTTCCCAGGATTCTGGGGCAGTGTTGAATTACTCCCAGGGTCCTTCGGCTTAGGGTGGGGCAGGATACTCCCAAGCCACCAAAAGCTCCAGGAGATACTGCTGCCGCCATGCACGTAGCATCTGCTGCCTGAGCTTCTCATCACCCTTTGCCTGGTTTTGTCTTCCTTCAGCCTCATCTTGGTGTCACTTCTGTAGAGAGCTCCTTGGGGGCACACTCTCAGAGCCCCTCTAACCCACCCCAGCATTCCTGGGCAGCGTGGAAGGGACACTCCTGTACCAGTGTGGGCTGGTAAAAGATACTGTGCCACTGCTTCCTCTCGGGAGCTCACCAAGTGACCAATAGGGTAGGGGATGTCATTTCTTTCCCGGTACCAGGGATCGAACTCAGGACCTTGCACTCACAAGGCAGGTGTGGTAGCACTGAGCTAAGCCCCCCACCCTAGATGGCATTCTTAGCACAAAGCCAGCCTGTGGCCAGAGCACCAATCCAGCTTTCCCATGCACACCCAGGGCCAGTGTTCAGACTATTTGGCACTTAGCTGGTGAACCACACCATTTTATAGATTATAACTCAATATAGGAGTGCCCAAAGTGTTAGGGTCTGGCAATGCCACAGAGGCTCAGAGTGGGGCACTAATCTGCCAGAGGTTTTTTTTTTTTTTTTTTTTTTTTTTTTTTTTC